GCATCCCTGCTGGGATGCGGCAAAAAGCGCGTTTGGCCCGGAGTCCCAGTGGTGTTCCGGACGGGTTTTGTGGCGTTTGGTCACAGATCCGAAGGCCTGGGATGGGCCAGGGTCCATGGCCCTTGTGAGAGGGAAGGAAACGAACCGAATCCAAAGATGGCGAGCTGATCCATCTCACTGAGACACATGGGCAAAAGCCAAGAACAGGGAGTTCACTTGGTCCCGAACAGAAACAGTTCCTTTTTGGTGATCGGGTAGTGAGACGGGCGAACCATGGAGTGAGGAGAAAAAGAAGTCGTGGACCAGGGCGACCAACTTCCTTCTTCAGTAACTGTTTGACTCAGAAGTCGTGCGCCCCCAAAATCCGAAAGAAGATGAGCGGGATGGTTTACCATCTCTCCAAGCAAGGAAGTGGGTTGTGGCCAGACTCTTTTCCTCTACAAACAGGAGGTTTGCCCGGTTTGCCCTACTTCTAGGATCATTGGAGGGAGGGTCCTGCTGTTGGCAGCCCCCCAAATTGGGGAGCGGCCTCCATCCATCCCCTCCATCCCCGTCCGCATCGCTCCAGCCCTTCGCGGGACACGCCCTCTGAGGATGGATCCCAATGAGACCAACGAGCTGTCCATGGCCAACTCCCGCTTCAACATCAGGAATCCGACTCATTGGTGGTTTTGACTGACACAGGGTGGTTTTGACTCCAAACCATGGTCGTACGACTGGTATTCTTCAAATGGGCCGGCATGAGTACAGGGAATGAGTTGTACTTGGTTTTTGGGAATTGATCGTTGGAACCTCGCTCTGAAGTATGAACTAGGCAGAAGCGGAGTCCAAAAGATGCGACTTGGAGTCGGAGGCTTCTTCAATTCCTATATACTAGTATGACCATAATGCAGAACCAATGATGGAGTCCCACGGTGTTTCACCTCACCTTTGAACGCTTCCCATCATGGTTCAATCTCCTGAATGATCAGATCCGGGATGCCTTGAACTTGTGGATAGACTGCCCCGATCCGATGCTGTGATCCTCTCCTGGAAATGGATGGAGTCTCACAGTGCTGGTGCCAGCTGTTTTTTTTCAACACACCAGTGGGCAATGAAAGCACTTAGTGCGAACCACCCAGTGGATCATAGCTCCTGTCGGACACTTCCCTCCAAGCTGATGCCTCATTGCTGGGGTCATCACACGGGGACCCAACCAAAGCACAGTAGCTACTGGTAGCTAGGGCATTACTACTAGTAGCAAGGTTGCTACTAGGTTGTTGCTGCTAGGTTGGAGGCCATCGCTATTAGGGTGGAAGCTATTAGGTTCCAGGCTCTCTGCACCTGATCCAGAAAGCCACAGAGTGCGAGCCCTCCTTCGCCACCATGCAGCACTCGGTGGGTTCCCGAACGTGAGCGTTCTCGGATGGTTCCCGCTGGGCAGGAAGCTCATCAAGGATGGTTTGATCATTCGTAAGGCCGGGCTAGGGAGTCAGGTCACAGGGCGTCAGAGCCACGCCACAGACGTGTTGAAACAACCAGGACCCACAAAAAGAGACTCACTCATTATACAATGGATGAGTCAAGAAGTGAAAGATCCGCTACTGTCAAGAGCACCTTTTTGGCCACCAAGCTCGTAAGCAGGTCTGGAAGACATGTCAATAAGACAGAAGACAATAAAAACAACATGAAGAAACGAAAAGGAATGTTACTAAGTCACGAAAGGTAGCTTGAGCTACCTGAGTTCTCCTTGCTTTAGCAAAAATGTATTACAATCAGGAGTTGGGATTGTGCATTGAATTTGGTCCTGTAAGAGTTGATTCTGTTCGTCGGGGGGGGGGGGGCCCCCCCCCCCGGATCAAATCCCCCCTGCGCCGGTTCACGCCGTCGTGGACTTCTACCAGGGTTACTTGTGATTGCCTGCTACCTTTCGTTCACCCCCTCCTCTCTCAAGTTACTAGTAGCGTCCTTGCTACTAGATGCCCGGGTTCCTACTACCAGCGATGCCGGGAGCCACTAGTAGCTTCTTGTTCCAGGTAGCGATGGCCTCCAACCTACTTGCGATGGCCTCCACCTAATAGCATCCTTGCTTCTTGTTTCAATGGAACAACTTGTGTTTGTTTCCGATGAAGTCATCCGTCGGCTTTTAAGAGTACGACCCGGCACCACGATCCTTGCAGGCAGTGACCATGCACTCTCGATCCCGCGTGCGAAAGAATTTGGAAGCCAAGCGCAAGGGCCGCCACATGGGCACTGGCAAGCGCAAGGGTACTCGTGAGGCTCGTATGCCAACCAAGGTCTTGTGGATGCGCCGTCAGCGCGTGCTCCGCCGTCTCCTCCGAAAGTACCGCCAACAGAAGAAGATTGACAAGCAGCTCTACCACTTCTTCTACCGCCATGCCAAGGGTAACTGCTACAAGAACAAGCGAGTCCTGATGGAGGCTATCCATGCCAAGAAGACTGAGAAGATGAAGGAGAAGGCCCTGCAGGAACAGTCTGAGGCCCGCAAGGAGAAGGCTCGCATCGCCAAGGAGAAGAAGCTCCAGCAGCTTGCCTGGAAAGTTCTTTCCGGAGCGATAGTCATCATTTCGAAGAACAAAGGCCAACAAGCCATCATTCCATTGCTTTTTGGCATCCAAACACCTCAAGCTGGTGTTGGGCTAAGGGAAGATCTTTTTTTGGTGAGGCAATTGGAGTACTTTGGATGATTGAGTGTGTTACAGTATATCAAATAGGATCAAATAGGTTTCTGTGGAACCTCTCATCCAACGTTGCAAGTTTCACCCCAATTCCGAATTCCAGTGATCTCCTCATGAACTGTGATGTCCTCCTTCAACATCTTCAACACACTTAACCTAACCAGCATGAGCATTCTTTGGCCCAGCCTTGCCTCCCTCGAGCCTCGCCCAGGAAGAAGGCGGATGCGGCGAGGACCGAAGAGGAGGGTGGCTGGCAGCAGCAGAAGAAGCGCTAAGTGCAGCGCTTCCGGCGACCAGGCCGTCTGCAGTTTTGATGTTCTCCGGGTGGGGAAAGGGTTGCCTCAATCACCATAAGTTGCAGGACCATCTAAGGGGTCAACATCTAGGACTGGACAATTGAGGACCATCCCTGGTAGAACTCCACCGCTCTACCCAGACGAGGTGATTCGTGGCGCGCGGCATTGTGAGACGATCGAGCCAAACCGAGCCGAACGAAGCAGTGGCGATGGAGAAAAATATCTGGAGCGAATTGGAGGGCGCCGAGCAGTGGTGTGTGAGGGATGATGGACGAATGGCAACACCTCAGTTTCTTATGACTCACTGACTTACAGTATACTTATTCACAATCCCCAAGAAAAACAGTCCTTTTTTTCGGAGAACGTTGACCTCAGATGGCATTGATCTCGGGAGTTCGAGATCTACCTTTCCTACCAACTAATCTGGGGCAGAAGGTCCAGCAGACCAGTGCAAGCGCTGCATGTGAAGTGCTGTAGGATTTGCAGAGGGTGAGGGTGTTCCTTTTTCTTTTGGGAGTGTGATTCACTCGGAAGAGAAGGCTGGCCATTCAGTTTGTTTCCTCTCTTGTGGCTGTCATACTTGTCAATTTGCCCCAAAATGAACACGATAGCAACCCACGGAGGGGTTGAAAGATGATTTTGCTTTAGGATGTCCAAGGTTGACCTAGCTAGTGCAAAGTGGGCTAGGCTATGACCCTGAGTTAGCAGAGAAATGGCGAAACATTGTCCAAGACCGACTTGCCCAATCCGCAGGGCATATTGGCTCAGCCCAGTGACACAGTAAAACTGGTGAGAGTGAGGGTCGGTCGGGGATGTCCTTAAAACTCCAGAAGCGGCTCGCCGCATCCCTTCTGGGATGCGGCAAGAAGCGCGTGTGGCAGGGAGTCCCAGGTGTCCCGCCACAAGACCGTAGACGGTGGGATTGGATTCGGAGAGGTTCGCAAGATGCTAACAGAGGTTGAAGAACCAGACTATTCCAGTTTGGTACCCCAGTGAGGTCCATTAAGGTCCTATTTACGGTCACTTAACCTCTCTTGGTGAAGATGCGGGGTCATGCCCAGATGGATGATGTTTGGAAAGAAGGAAGGCCATGGGGCTCCTCTCACTCCCTGGCTTCCCGTTGAGCGTCGTTAGGATGGACCCCAATGAGACCAACGAGCTGTCCATGGCCAACTCTCGCTTCAACATCAGGAGCGAACCGCTGGGAGGGGTGGGGGCAAGTGAACATAGTGAACTGGGCGATGACTCCGAGATGGAACTGCTGTGGAGTTCCGAGGCAAGAAGAACACCAGTCTTCCGTTGTTTCTGGGCATCGTGGAGGAAATGAGTTTTGCCAAGGATCCGTGTCCACTTTTCAGGAACAATGGGAATCACTTCTATCGTTTTACATGAAAGCAGAAAATTTCTGGAGCTATTTTGTTGGTTGCCGGATGTGGTCCATCAAAAGAAACCACAAAAGACATTAATAAACACGCAGTGTCTACTCTAGGAAACAATTTACCAGGCAGAAGCTTGGAGATTTGAGCAGATTGGGTGGAGCGAATGATTCTGGCAGTGATCACCCCAGGTTTACCGAAAGATGCGTGGCGAAACCTGGGAGGAACTCCTCCCATCATTTTGGGAGATGTGGGATACCAGACTTCACGAATTCCTTTGGCCCTACCTGGTCCATGTCTTTCTTCCGTTTATATAGTATTATAGTAATGCCCCGAGCCCCCAGCCTACCTGGTCCAGCCTACCTGGTCCCCCCCCCAAGGTAGGGTGTATTTATAGTATGTTGAGAACATCAGCAGTGATTAGGACAAGCCAATGTCGGTGGCTTCCTGGAGTTGCTAGAAAGCTTGTTCACGGAGTATCACGTTGGCTAGGAAGCTGATCAAGGATGGCTTGATCATCCGCAAGGCAAGCCGGGTGGAAGAAGAGTGTAAGAAGAAGCCGAACCAAAGAAACCAAAATTGCTTCGGGGGTTCTAGAACTCATTGCTTGTAACAAGTTGGCTGGGCACTTGAAGTCAGGATGTCTTTTTATTCGACCGAGCAGGGCCGGCGGTTTCGAACGAAACCAAAGGCATGGAAGAACCGAAAAGAAATGTTACTAGTAGCGTCCTTGCTACTAGTAGCGATGCGCGGGTTCCTAGTAACGATGCCAGGAGCTACTAGTAGCTTCTTGTTCCTAGTAGCGATGGCCTCCACCTAATAGCGTCCTTGCTTCTTGTTTCAATGGAACAATTTGTGTTTGTTTCCGATGAAGTCATCCGTCGGCTTGCTTTAAGAGTACGACCCGGCACCACGATCCTTGCAGGCAGTGACCATGCACTCTCGATCCCGCGTGCGAAAGAATTTGGAAGCCAAGCGCAAGGGCCGCCACATGGGCACTGGCAAGCGCAAGGGTACTCGTGAGGCTCGTATGCCAACCAAGGTCTTGTGGATGCGCCGTCAGCGCGTGCTCCGCCGTCTCCTCCGAAAGTACCGCCAACAGAAGAAGATTGACAAGCAGCTCTACCACTTCTTCTACCGCCATGCCAAGGGTAACTGCTACAAGAACAAGCGAGTCCTGATGGAGGCTATCCATGCCAAGAAGACTGAGAAGATGAAGGAGAAGGCCCTGCAGGAACAGTCTGAGGCCCGCAAGGAGAAGGCTCGCATCGCCAAGGAGAAGAAGCTCCAGATACCTGGCTGTGAGTGGCTGTTGGAGTCAAACTGATGTTCATGTCATCACCCTTCAGTCATGGGATACCCTCCATCCAATAATGGTGGAAGCAGACCACGCCCACGATTTACAGTATACAGAAGAACATGATCTTCCAGGCGTCCATGTTCCACTTCATGATTGGCCTGGCAACGTTTCCAGCATCAATCCAAGTTGATCCCAAAGTCTGTTCAAAGAGAAACGGGCGTGATCAGACTAAGTAAACGTCCAAAAGACCCTCAACTAATGAACTTATCTCACTCCAAAAAGCAAAAACATAATACCCAATATATAATATCAACTTATATTGGAGTGAGATAAGAATACCAACTTCTCCTTATCTCACTCCAACAATCATCTCATGAGTTCGAACGAAGCGTCTTCAGAACTTGGGCGAACACCCCCAAATCGACCACCCGTGTTTTTTTTTCCGACCGGTCGCCCAGGAAGAAGGCGGATGCTGCACGCACGGAAGAGGACGGCGGCTGGCAGCAGCAGAAGAAGCGCTGAGAAGGTGGAGGTGGGAGCTCTGTGGTGTCATCCTTTTTGGGTGCTGGGTGTGGTAGCGGTGTGGTGCCGCCGCTGGTTGTATGTTCTTTTGGGCCATGGCTATGGCAGTGGTGATGGCGGCATGCCGGTGGAGGAGGTGAACACTGGCTGTTTTGGTCTCGGTCCGGACACGGTGGATGCTGTAGTAGAGCTGCTAAAGATCGGAGCCGACTCTGAAGGGTAGCCCTGGTTTGTCCTGGCATTATCTGGCTTCCTCATGTTTCATGGGTAGGCGGTAGGCTGGTCATGGTAAACGGGCTCTCATCCCTGAAGTGAACCTCCAACTAGCCTCGCTTGCACTTGACAGGTTCGCTTGCAGAGAGAACCGATGACTTGCTTCCTGAGAGCACGACCTGAGCCAGTGAAAATGCGGAGAAAAAAGCCACATTAAGAGCTGTGCTTCAGTCCATGTTGGATGGTCTTTTGCACGAGGATGTTCCGCCTAGAAGCTGTACCCCGGTGTGGATCCTTTTGCCGCGGAAGCGACCCCATGGTTGGGCGGCTGAGTGTCGCTGTCCGCCTCTTGCAATGTGTCTCTCCTTCTTTCGTCTTGGGAGCATTGGAAGCGCACCCAGGCATTCCGGTTCAACCAGTGGAGCCGAACGCGTCAATGCCTCCGACCAACGTGTTGTCCACCGCGCCACGCGTTGCACAGCCCACCCCGAACCGGCGAGCCACGGTGGGCCGCGCTGAAACCGCGCTTCCTGGACCAGCGACTCCCCAACGCCCCCCCCCATCACCGGACGCCGTCGGTGCGGCGGAGCGACCTGGGCCAACTGCTGCGCGTGTCTGGAGCCGCCAGATGCCCTGTGAAGAGACCCCGCCCGGACGGGGGCGGATGCCGGACGCCTTCGCCGAGGAGGTGCCCCTTATGACCTCGCCGGATCGTTGGGGGTGGCTTGGGTGATCCGGAAGGTTTGTGGGGTGGTTCGCCGATCCGCGGCCGGTTGAAAGAGTTCGACTGCGAAGTAGGTAACTACCTGGACCATCCAAGGGGTGCCCTGTCTGGAAGCCTATGGGGTAGTCCAGCCAGGACACCCCTTGGATGGTCCTGGTATCCGACAGGGAGCGCCGGCCTGTTGCCCCCAACGGGCAGGGTGTTTTGTTATCACGAAAGCTAGCCTTAGCTAGCTGGAGTTGCTCTTGCTTTAGCAAGTTAAGTGACGGGGTGGACGCACCTCAGAAACCTCAAATAATTGATTAAATCAATCTTGTGGACCCCCCCCCCCCCCCCCCG